GCTCAAGTCAGAATGACAAGAGCAGAAACTTGAAAGCGCAGATTACAAGGCGCAGTCGATGCAGCCATGATTAGCACAGCTTGGCCAGCGGCATTACGTTTGCGATTATGTTTGCAATGCCTTCGTGTACGTGGCTGTGACCATGCATGACTCCAACCTACTGATCTTTGGTCAATGTGGCTTATTATTGCCAGCATTTACCAGCCCTTGGTGATGACCCCAGCGCCACGCAGCTTCCCGGCCGAACGTGAACCTTTCCTGAAGATTCTGAAGATCCTGCAGCCGGAGGAAAAGACCGATGGGATGCCTGTCCAAATTGCTTCGATCAGTGATCCCCGGTGGATCCCTAGTGCCTTGTGAACGACACTCGTCAAATTCACATTCTCCGTGTTCAAAGGGCGACCAGTCAGAATGCATCATACCACGGAGAGTTACAGCAGAAGGTATGCCATGTCATGCGTGCAATAGTATTTGCAATAGTGTCAAATAGATCCCAAATGATTCCAAATGATTCCAACTGTTCATCAACAGGCCTCACCATGCGCTGAAAAAAACTAATAGAAAAGACTAACTACATAATCAAACATTTAAGATGTTTCATGACTCAGGTGGAGAATGTGCATTGGAAATTTATATATATATATATAAATAAATATAAATATATATATACACATCAATCTATGTTTCTCTTGGGCAAGGTTTCAAGGTGATCGCTCCCAAGTTACCCAGCTTTTGCCATGGAGCAGCCCTTGCGTTGGAAGAGCGGGATGCTCAATCCACCAGCAGGCGAGGGCCCCAAGCATTGTATAGAAGGTGGAGATCATCATATTAACAGACAGACTCCATCATCCGAATCATCCACGTATCACTGGTACATGGGTGTATCACCCATCATCCTCATCCTGCTGACCTGTTTTGCGCACTTAAACAGTTCAACACGACATTGGAGCCCTTTTGCTTGCTAGGCTCTGTGGTGGAGCTGCCCTTGCCAGTGGCTTGGCTATTGGCACATGAGTAGTGTGGGATCTATGAACGGGTATCAGATTGGTATAATGAAGCAGAAATGCACCCATATTCATATATTATATTTCAGTGGCGCGTTGCGATGTGCAATCAATTTGCTTGGAGTATCTTGGAGTGATGTTTTGATCACCACAGGTTCGTGCCCCAAAACTGAGACAGAAGTGTGTCCCGTGCCGACGTCGCAAGGACATTGAGATGCAAGAACTGGAGCTCTTGATGACCTACTATGGCTGTATACGACAAGCGCAGGAGGACGGGGATGTACACATTTTGAAAGATAAGGAACGGAGATGGAACGGAGATGGAACAGAGCTACACACAGCGCACCCCCAGTTGCTTGATGTTGCTTGCCTACGCAGAAGATAGGCTCCGTCCCAGGATCGTCGCAACGGGATCGATGATGGCATTGCAGTGGATGTCCCCGAGTGGGCGTCCAACCTATTGCTTAGCAGCCTGAAGCTGAGCCTTCCGCTAGCTTTCTGTAAAGCACAGCGTTGCAAGATGTTGCAAGACGGCGAATTCCCATGTCTTGCATACAGCATGTATTGTTTGTGATGTGTTCGTCCTGCTCAACATTTGAGTGTTTCAGGTGGTTTTGGTTGGACAGTGCCACGAATCCAAGCTCTGGTGACTTCTGCCTCTTGGCTGATGCTTCACTGCTGCACTTTCGCCCAGCGGTTCCGAGTTTGGTTGCTCAGGTTTGCGGCGAATTGGATCCCGAGCCAGACACGGAGGCCAAGCAAGTTTAATGTTCGAGAGAGATTGATTTCGTTTGCCATGTTGATCATGTTGACTAGTAGTGCTCAGGAGTTGCCAGACGACTCACCAGACGACTCACCAGACAACCCAAACTTCCAAGAGGATCTTCCACCGAGCCACGGTGAAATTGCTTGACACTGAGCCGTGTTGAGTCAAGACTTACGGAGGCTGAGTGCAAGATGTATCAAGATGTATCAAGATGATCAAGATAGATATGCTAAGGCAGTGGAGGCAGACTCAATGGAATTGCAAATGTCTCAAGACGAGCCAAGGCAAGGCACAATCAGACAAGCATTTCCATGAAGTGCTTCCATCATCTTCCATCCTTCCATCCTTCTGTCCTTATTGTTGCATCGTTGTCGCCGTCAGCCGCGTCAGCAGCATCATGATTCTTCACTCCAAGATGACAGGCCTTCCCTGGAGCAAAGACCTCCAGACCTTCAAGGCCTTCGAAAGGCCCTTTGCGCAGTCCATGCTGCGAGAGATTTCTGTGAGATGTCCACATATGTGATTGGTACGATTGGCTCCGAATCTTTGAAAGCCAGCTGATTGTCAACAGTTTCCAACATTTGATACAATCAATTGGGCACCAATGGGCCCACAAGATTGGTCACCATTCCAAAATGATCCAAAATGGTGGTCGTATGGAGCCATACCCATATTCCCCCAATCCTAAAAACTATGGAATCTATGGAGATTTGTAAGATAAATATGTGATATCGAGCCAAGCCCACCAGCTTCATGTCAGACACGTTGGGGCCGGTGCATGGCACCCTGGTGCCGAAACTTGGCTCTGCAGCCAGTGCTGGGCAGCCGAGGACATCCCAGCGGCGAATCAAGACAGTTGGAGTATGTTACTGGAACATACTGGAACTAGATGCTACATATTATGATTAAAGTACAATACATGTAATATACATTTAAATCATTTACACACGCAACTCGGCTTCAGGACCATTTCTGAGTTGCTCTGCCAAGAGCGGCTGCCGCTTCAAGAAGGACAACTTATCGAAGTCATGCTTGAAATGTGGACCATGCGGGGCTTCTATAGCTTTCACTACCGGTTCATCACATGACATGTTGCATTTGCCACATCGGATGGGACCCGGTGGGATGATTCTGTTCTGATAACGCCTGAAATGGGCTATGCCGCTATGCCTTACCAGCTGCCAGGAGTTGACAGTTGCGCAGTGGCGGACGTTACCGAAGAAGTGGCTGAATTTTTGGCCCGTCTCTTGGGTCACTTGGAGCCGCGGTTGGGCCAAGATGTTGAGATGTGCTGTGTTGGATCAGGGTTGCTTGCGTTGCTGCTTGGAAAGGTCCAGAGGGGTTCCACAGACTTCCGCACCATGAATCGCAGCGAGAAGCTGCAAGATGCATCTAGGGATCTAGGGTTTGTCGTTTGAAAGAGCGGACAATAAAGGGCTCAAACTGCTTGAATTCTATCAGGCATTATCAGGCTATTCTTGGAATAGCTTTCTCCCTGGCTTGGGACAGAAAATATGAGTGAAGAAAAGCCTCAGGCTGGAGTCAAGCCGTGGCTTCGACCCAAGAGGCGGCCGTCAGATGGTGGACGCCAAAGTTTGCGGGGATCATGTGACCCAAGTCAAGGAATACGGTACTCGTAGTATAATGTTACATAGTAACACCTAGTCTATATATAGTCCTCTATATATATATATATAGTCGTATATCAATGTATATCAGTACATGCTAGCATACAGGATACAAGTCGGATACAACATCCACAAGCAAGGCAGCATGGCATGAAAGCTGGATGGTTTTGGGCCGGAATTGAGGATTTCCCACTGGCCAGGCCCGTGTCATCTCTGGGCCCACCAAAGCCGCGCCGGATCTCACGTGCGGCACAGGCTTGGGAAGCTGCGCAGCGTCCTCAAGCTATGGCAGCTATGGGTGTTTGAGGCAGTTGAAGCAGCTGACAATTTCGACCCCTTCCTGTGGAGTGTTGTTCCTCAGGTCCGTGCTGAGATGAACTTTGGCCAGCTGATGATCTCATAGTTTTTTTGGCATTTGACTAAGGTGCTGAAGTCCAATGTTTCCCCAGTCCAAGACAATTTTTGTAATTTTAGAGCAGAAGGAGAGTAGAGGTGCTTAAACCTCTGACGTGTTTTATTGGAGTTCTTTGCCTCGCTATGTTGCTGGGGGGGCCGTTCAGAGCCCTTCCAATGGTGTGTGGCAGCGAAAATGCTGGCCTCCACGCTGCTACTTGCTGTGTGTAACACTGCAGCAGGTTGCCAATGAACCCGGGGAATAAATCCACTATAGCTTTTTGTCAATGACAGCCACAGTGAAGTTACTTGATATATCATGACATTTTCCGTGGCTCCAAGATTGTGCAGAGCCAGAAACAGAGGTTTGAAGTATGATCCCTGCTTCCAAACTGCCAATGACTAGCTTTGTACTTGGAAGAAGAGAAAGTGTTTTTGGATGCATTTTGGAGCCTTCGAATCTATGTTGCACGGAAATCTTTTACTGTAGTAGAGCCTAGAAAATTGGATTGTCTTCGTGCATGGCCACCTGTGCCTGTGACCATGTACATCGAACCTTTGGTCGGCAAAGACGACCTGCAAATGATCTTGTAGCTGATGTTTCTTGCAGCCTGCACAGGCTGCACCAACTGCTTGCTGTGTAGGCATAAAAAGATCATAAAAGCAGGTGCCCACGGCATCCTACAGCATCCCACAGCACCCCTGCATTAACTTCGGGTTGTGCACCCCAAAGTGATTGGCAGGTGTTTGACACGGTTACATAATCATAAGTGCTTAATGAGCAGTTCAGCCTGTCATTGCACAAACACTTTATGCTGCTGCAGGATGTCGAAATGTTGCATGGCGCCCCTGTGCCTGTCATGTCCCTGAAAGCTGCTTCAAATTTATAGGCTAGCCGGTAATTAGCCACATGTTGTGAGCACCTACAAGGTACAAGCAAGCATCAAGTTGGAGAGAATGTTTCATTCAGACCATTAGACGGCCGGAGTTCACCAAGCTTTAAAAGTGAAGAACACACGCAGCCTCCGACAACAAGACAAGTACCTTGTGACCTAGCAATAACGTAGTTTTTTTTACACACCCATATATTATATAATAATAATAATGATAATAATAATAACAATAATCATAATAACAATAATAATAATATAATACACATATATATATATATCACATATATACATATATACATGTTATATTATGTTGTTGTATGCAGCATTTATCAACATGTACTATACACTTAGGCCGAGGCAGACCTTGTCTGAAGGCGAGAGAGATATATGCATAATGTATCACAACACACACAAGATCAACATACCAAAGGAAGACATCAGGTACTTGCTGTCCAATAACCAACCAATCCAGCCCAACCAGCACTTGAAACAGATATACCGCCCTGGTCAAGTTCCGCCCCAAGGGCTTGCTGGCCATGGCTGCAAGCGATGTGACGGTCGTCAGAGCAGACCTGCTTCTTTGACCTTCTTGGATGGTCCATTTGATAATGTTGGGGTTTAACGGTTATCCAAGACTTGGGTACCCAAAAATTCATCGAAACAAAACCCATCAAATCCCCGTCCAAAAAACTCTAAACATGATTATTGTCCTCTACTTCCATCTATGTCCCATATGAATAAGAATAATGGATGGTTATTTCATGTTATTTTGGGGTGCACCCAATATTTGTGCAAACCGATAGCGACCGTGATGTCACCTGACCTAGCATCGTGCATGGTGACTTTCCCCAGATATGTTCAGAGAATTGCTGGAGAATTTCTCAAACCGGAGTTGCGTTGACATATCATTCATCCACAGATCCTCAACAGGAACAATATCACTCAGGATGAGGCTTCAGATTAAAGTCGCTTGTTGAATTTCCAAGCTGCGAAGTTGGATCAATTCCAACGAATCTTGAGGACGACGTTTGCTGTCCGTCCAAGGCTCCAACGGCTCAAACAGGGCGAAAGCTGTTTGGCTCTCAGCTGCTGGCAGATTTTAGATGATTTTAGTATCTTTAAATAGCTTTAAGCCACAGCCAGTCACAGCTTTGGAAGCTGTCTTCCCGCAAGGTCGACTGGTACTTGGTCCATGCCCACCAGAGTTGCTGGCAGACAAGGAGAGCTTCACTAAGCTTCGCTGAGCTTCACGCACATGTTTCAGAGTACTGCTGGGCCGTGAGGATCTGATGCTGAAAGCTTTGGAATTCAATGCGTATGCCGTCGAGTCTTGGATGGGTATGCTTGAATTACCTAATACTCCTCTTTAACATTCTTTTCTTGAATGGCATATTGCATAGGAATGATGATTCAATGAGCTCGAGCTGCTGGTACAACTTGCGGTTCCTTTTGGCCTTAGAACCCTGCAGCAGAACAATGGAACTGCAGAACCCTCATCACGGCCAAGGAGTATTTGGCAGCGCCCTTGCTTGAAGAGCGGGAAATTTGGATGACAGCCACAAAGCAGAGCCTTGGTTGAAATTTGGAATGTTTGAGGCCTATTAGTGCAGTGCATGCTCAGAAAAGTGTTTGCTTTTGCGGCGTTGGCAATTTGCCACGTGCACTCCCTTGATCATTTTTGGTTTGGAAGCGAACTTCTCATACAAGTCAATAATACATGTCATACCCAAGATATTGGACCTACTCCAAGAAAATTGCCGAGCTTATCCCTGACAGTTTCGGAGCCTTGATCTGTATGCCAAAGTTGGCACCGAGGAATTTCCATGCACTGCGGTCCTGCGTGCTTCTCAATGATTTGGGAATGTGGAGTTTGCTATTCCCTTGCATCCAGGTGCATGATGTGTGAGGGTGAGGATGCCTCATGCGCCAGACATGGGGTTTGGGGTCATCATTGTATACTTAGGTTCTGCGGATTTGCTTGGTGACAAGGTGCGGAGCACGGGGCAGTATGACAAGTCTTTTGCAGCAAAATACAGTTGCTCACTGTTCAAGGTCGGGACATGCTTCATGTCTTGCCAGAAAAAGGCCACCCAAAATCAACAAGTGTGGGAGCAAAAACATGAATAATTATATGAAATCATATGAAGGATCCTGAAGGCCTTGTCCTACTTCTGGTGGATGTTGAAGTTGAATTCTTAGCCATGGTTGTTGAGGTTTCAGTTCCTCACCTTAAAACCCGACTCGGTCAGTGCACTTCATCAGTTGCTTCAATCTTGGCGGTCCAAGGAGACAGCGCTGTCACTGATTGAAGCAGATGCCTTCGCTTTGCGATATTTGTCACCAGAGCTTCGCAGTGACCGAGAGGCCCTGAGCACATCTGGTCCCAAGTAGCTGTCTGAAACTTCGGGATCCTAAATGATTCTGGGGCATCTGGGGCCATATTATAATACTTCAACATACTTGAATATACTTGAGATAATCTTGAGATATCTTGAGATTACTTGAGTATATTTTCAGCAGGTGTAACACCTGCGCATGCCACATGTAGGGTATACAGCCACCGGGTGCCTTGCCCTGGCAGGTGGTCCTGCAGGCCTTGAAAGGTACCGGCTTGGCCCTGGAATTTGCCTCTGCTGAGCTTCGTTCTTTGCCTTGAGATGCCTTGCGACAAGTGATGAACTCTGACGAACTCCCCTACTTTTGATGGAAATGAAACAATGAAGAAACAATGAACTTCAGATAAATTCAGATAGTAAGATAGTCAGTTTTGCCATCAACATCCGAGTCTCTGAGACGGATTGGAACCGGGCATATAGTTGTGACTGCTTTTAAGCAACCTTACGCAGTTGCTGAATGCTTCCCATCCACGAAACGCCACGGCTCCGTGACGGAGTTGCCCTTTGGGTTGACACTTGTCGTATGACCTGAGGTGCAGAAAGAAAAGTAGCAGCTTAGCAAAACCGAGAGCTGGAATGAGCTGGGTACTTTTCAAATCTTTTCAATGTTCAAACTTTTTCAAGCCCCTATTGAGGTCATTTATGTATATTTATGTAATATCAGTTCTTTTGTGGCCTTTGTCGTTGGGAGCCCATGCGTTTGTTGAAAAGTCTTCAGGTGGAGAAGGCTGTCCAAAAAGCAACTTGGCATCACTGTATTGCACATATTTGCAGAAAATGATGCTTTTGCCTCAGTTGCCTCAATGATTCATGTATATTTATATGTATATGTGGTATGATCTTATAGTAGTTACAAATACATGTATAATATAATATCTAATACTAGTATAATATAATTTAATGCTTCATAATATATTATAATATAATATTATGTTTTTGTTGTGCAATGGTGTTATTGTTGTTGCATTCAGGCCGATCCCCCCAGCGCAAACCGAGGATGGCTTGGCACTGGAGTTTGCTTCCCTGGAGCTGCAGAAGGATGAAGGCATTGCACTCGAGGCCGTCAAAAGCAACACAGCCAGGCACCCAGAGAAAATCCCAGGGGAATAAACAAGTAGTCAAACAGCATCAAAGCAGCTGGGGGTGAAGATCAAAGTAGCTGGTTATATGCTGCTTACATGTTGATTGATGTTGATTGTACATGTTGTAGTGATTGGCCGAGGCTGTGATTCGGATACTACCCGAATCGCTTTCTCGAAGCATGAGTTTTCTGCTCCTCAGCTGTCAAGGGTTGAAAACAGCACCAGCTTGTTTGGTCCATTTGTATCCGTTTGTTCCCATCGCAGATCCATTTCAGCAGCAATTTTGTGAGCACGAGAAAGAACCAGTGTTCTTGCAGTCCTGGAACTTTCAGAAACATTTTTTCAGGTACCTTCCAACTCAGGTTGCAGGCTGCAGTGGCTGGAGGAAGCAGCATTCTACGCTTCGTCGCTCCTGAGTTTGCTTCAGACAAGGTGACCCAATGACTGAGTCATAGCAACACTAACGCCATGACCCTGACACCATGAGGAGAATTGTACATAAAACTCCTGGCCAACAGGACATGTTTGTGCTCATGATCTGAGAATATCCTGCATGTTATTCATCTCTTTCGCTACTTCTACTGCAGTTTTCTCACCGCTAACGTCAACTCAGTGCTGGTGTGCAGCCACGCTGGATATGGAGAATATGGACAAACATATTATATATACGTATTGAATAGAATTAAATAGTGGGTTGTCTATTTATACTTCAATTAAACTTTGCTTCCGAGCGGCCTTGCTTGCAGGTTTTTGTCATGCACGTCATCAAGTCAGACTGCTGCTCGTTTGCTCATAGCCAGCGGATACCAGTAGCATTCATCACGACAGTCATGATCATCGAATTGGTTGAAGTTGAATGGGAAATTTGCAGGAGACCCCAATATTTAGCATAATTTGGCAGTACAAAATGTAAAAAGAATGGTTTGCATTGATTTCCTCAAAGAAAAACATGAAGTCCACCGGAACGTCGCCGAAAGCAGCAAGGTACTGCCCTGAAACACTGCCCAAAGGAGTTGAAGGAAGATCCCAGCCTGCAGCTGGCAGCTGTGGAAGCAGGTGGTCCCCAGGGAAGCGCTGCACTGGAGCCATGGCAACAAGTTGAGCAGATCAGATTGATCTTCAAGCTTGTCAATCGTCACAGTATATAAATATATATACACACATATATACATATAGAGATATATAAAATTAATTATATATATATATGCATACACGTATATTTGTATCTCTAGCAACATTTTTGCGCTATACGCAACACTGCTTGTCCTCTACGTCAAATATACCTCCCAAATAGTCAGTTCCACACACCCCGATTAAACACCCTCGTCTCTGAAACCCTCAATGTTGTGTTTTTTCCTCTATATAATAAAAAAATAAATTGAGCGCCTTTAGTTTAAAATCAAAAAATGCAGCCTTCAGCCTTTTGGTGAAAGAAAGGGTGATACTGAGGGAGGGTCTGGGTGCAAGATGTGTTGGGGAGGGTGTGCTGTGGCCTGTTGAACCATTGGCTTTGATCCCTTAAAGAACCCATAAATTCATGCAGATCCCCACGTAATCCCATTGGTTTTAAAGTGGAGCAATGTCAAGTACATGATTCATGGGCCACTCACTATTCAGGCGGTGTCATGCGGTGTCCATTTTTGATTTTTGTTCATGCATGGCATTTCACAGCGATATGTGGGACAAGCATATAGGCTGATCAGCATGAGCCGCTAGCTATAGCAGCTAGTTCAATTCTTGCCTGCGTCATCCTGCGTCATTGCCGGTGTGTCTTGCTGGCTTTGAGCACAAGGAACTGGCACCCCAAGCTTTGCGCACTGATCGTGCCTTTTTGCTGCGCTGTGCCAAGATCACACCCCAGGAGCGGCTGTGCCATTGACGTCTCCGAAAAACCATGGGTCTTCTTGAAAAACCATGCCAAACAGCAGGCTCCTTTTTTCCATGCACACCTATATGCACATTGCCACGGCGTGACCGTTTGTCTCATGTTTAGATGAGGGAGCTTGAGGTGATCTAGAGATTTGCAGACTCCCAAGACATAGTCTTAGTTCAAAAGAAATGTCACCTGGAACTGTAGCAAACTGCCACAGTCCTTTAGAATCAATCCTTTAGGGCTCTGTTAAAACGTAGATGTAGAACTCTGTGGGGTCCAGTGGTGATGGGCCAACTGCGAGGCCCTGCGACTGGCACCGGAGGAGCTGCAAAAAGATCGCAGCTTTGTCATGGAGGCATGAAAAAAATAGAACCATATAGAGATCACAGTGGCAATCCACATTACCGCTATTTCCCACCTGAAATTGGCGTAGTTTTCAAGTTTTCCTTCACACAAGTTCCAAATGGCCTCGTATGTTCGCTGATGGCACCAAGAAGAATGGGCTCATACTGTCGTCTGTCGCCTTCTCTAGCCGTCATGTGACAAAAGAGCAGCCGATGACAAAGCACCAATCATTTACCTTGTCCTGACATGTTCTCAGGCCTCGGAAATGTGCATCATAAGTCTCTCGTGTTTAGGGCTTTTAGTTGAGTTGCTGGTCCGTCATGCTGATTTTGTTTGTACATCGATGCTTGGAGAGGCAGTGCGTGCCAGAGGCGCCGCCCTTCAATTTGCACTGTTCGAGTTTCGCATGGACCATGATGTGGTTTTCGAAGCGGTGAAGCAGGACCTCCCCCTCTTCCATCCTCTTCCTACCATTTGGATCCATTTGGTGACTGCTTTAAGCCCTTTAAGCCTTCTGGCAGCGCTTCATTGAATTGTGCAGTCACCATGAGTGTAGAATCATTTGGATCGGATGGTGCGTGCGGAGAGTCAAACTTGTTCAGTGTGCCTTTTATTGATTCTTGCAGCGAATATCATGGACCTTGTTGTGCAGGACTTGGGTGCTCTAGCGCTCCTTTGCTTCTATGGATCAGTGGGGGGAGATCAAAGAGGGATGTAGAAGATACATATATATATATATAATATATATGTATATATATATATATAAATAGAATTATGATTTATGTAGAATAGAAGGAACTGCAAGCAATCTATCTTTGGGCAGCTGGCAGTAGAGAAACTGCAACTGATACGTTTCAGCTTTGCCACAAATCTTTTGGAGTCACAGCTAAGGTTTGCAGATACAAGTTTGAGTCACCTGACAGCACTTCAAGCTTTTACCATAGCAGCATTGAGAATGGCGATGCAAAGGCATCCGAAATCAAAAAGAGACACGGCTCCCCTCCTTCAATGAAATTGATGCTAATTTATGATATTTATGTGGGTCCAAGCTGCCAGATAAGGCTTCCAAGATGCTTCCAAGATGCTTCCAAGCTATTCCAAGCCTCAGGACATAATGCAAAGTTCAAGGAAGAGATTGCCTATTTGCAGAAGGGCATCCAGGTTTCGATCGAGGTTTCTGGCGAGTGACCCCGTTCCTTGCCTGTACCAATGAGATCCTACGAGCTTCAAAGGATTGAGGCACCACTGGGTACTACACTGATACGAGCTGGTAGAATTCAGATGAATTCAGAAACCTTAGATTACTTGGACTTTCACCTGGAGATCATGATGGATCATGATGGACCTTGCATCAAGTGGGATAGTCGTGCCTTGATGATCTTCTGCAGCACGACGTCTCCAAGGATTTCCGAAAGTGTACTTTGCATAAAACTACTGTATTCAATGTATATTGATTCAATAGCATTGAGATACCCATTTACATTCGTATACACAGTGCAGACCTATAGTTATACAGTGTTATTATTAGTTATAATCATAACAGAATTGTACATACATAGAGATATAATGATATATATATATGTGTGAACTATACACGTCCACGTAGACAAAATGTTGGCAATGTTTTGGCAGCTTGCAAAATTATATAGACAATGTGAAACTTTCAATGTCTGAACTTTGTCACTCCAGGTGTCACAATGGTTCCAGCCTCTCCGACGCGAGTCTCACACCAGATTCCAAGCCAAACGCTTGTCCGGCAGTGTTTTTTCGCGGAAAAAAAAGGTTCCGTTTTGCCACTTCCGCACAGTGCTCTTGACGAGTTCACAGCAGAAAACAATAGAAAACATGTGTTGGTGCGTTGGCACTGGCAGTTTCGGCCAACGATTGAACTACTGAGGATTGGGGATTTTCCTGACAGGCGTGAACATGATTTGAGGAATTCAGGAATAACAAAGAATAGCAACATCATCATCATCATCATCATCATCATCATCGTCCTCGTTGTCTCCCCATCCTTGGCCAAAGGATCTGCACAGAGAACAACAACATCCAACAACTTACGGCCTCGCGGCGAAGCCGTTCCTCGCCATGGTATCCACGGTGGCGAATCGTCCCCGGGCATCAGTTGTTCAGAGAGGACAGGCGGCCGTGCGCAATGCGGCTCCATCGACATGCGATGAACCGAAACCATCACCAGTGGCACAAGGATCGAGCGAGGAGCCAAGCATAGCCAAGCGGTGGGGAGGATATGGGAGGATCAACCGAGGGAAACCCCAGCGGACGAATTCGAAAGCTGCAGGAGAGGGAAATTGGCAAAAGATAGTAAATGGATGTAAATGGTAAGAGAAATCCTCCCCTTCACTGGAATTCTGGAGTTAGCATGGCCATTGGCCGATCATGAGAACTAACGGGGACCGCTGGGAGCAGCCCGACAGCAGGAGCACGGCCGCTTGGCGGGCCGCTATCCCACCTCACTCGTCTTGGCCATGGTCATGATGGATTTGCTGCCAGGCATTGTCGAGTTCAGAACAAGCCCAGCACTTAGAAGCTGCACTGAGAAAATCGATTTATAGACGTGTTTACAGTTCCACGCGGAAAGCCAGCTTACTCAGTATTGGATAGTATTTGTCACGAGGCACGGGCGCTTCAGACTTTCTTGACTTCCGTCCGCGCGTTCCAGTGCTGAGATTTCAGAACAGACATTGTGCAACTATGAATGATACAATGTGTGAAACAGTTGTTGACAAGAAAAATAAGCAAACCGCTGCTGTTTGAATATATTAATTGTTGTGCGGCAGACTTGAAACAAAACGCCAAGACCCTAGGATGTCCTGAGTCATGCGTCAAGAATTCAAAGGACAAGATGCCATGACATCATTTCAATTCACACATTCGCATTTTCGATCATTTTCGCATACATTTGCACGCTGTGTTTCTCGCTTTGCTTGTTTTGAGGTTGGATGGCTGCTCATCAGTAGGCTCATGACAAGTGGTTCCGCGGCTGCATCGCAGCAAAAAGTTCACCTCTTGGATTAATTACAGTACTGTGGTGATTACTGTACTAGTACGTGGAATCGGATTGGATGAAAGCATTCATTGATTTCACTATAGCTTTCATGCCAGTGCTTGCGCCTGGCTATTATGCTGTTGCTGTTCCTTTTCAACTGAGTAACTGTCTGAAAAAAAATGTAAAATAAGGATCGCTGAAATGGGATGAATGATATCATGGACAAATATCAATCCAGTTTTCTGCTTGCTTCGGCTGATTCAAACAGCCCGTGTAGATCCGTGTACGGGAGGCCTCATTTTGTCAGACAGATCCTTTCCTTGTAGATGTTGCATCATGTGTTGCAGCTGCAACACCCTCGCATGGATGACATTGAAGCATGATTGCTCTACGATTCCCTCCAGTCAATTCAGAAGCAAATTTGAAAAAATATGCGGTCTAGCTTAGCTCACAGACTCACTTTTTCAGCTAACTGGCTTGGCTTCAGTTAAGGCATTGCCTTCAACGTTGCGTGTCTGCTGCTGTCCCTGCTGCTGTCCCTGCTGGGCTCTCCTGCCAGGCAATAGTTTTGAAGTCACGTGTGTAAACACATTTGAAGGCTTTAATGCTTCAGTTTTGAGACCATTGATGTCCCCTTTCCGTTCTTGCGGCTTTGCAGCAAGTGATGTCAGGCTGGTATGTCCGCTGCTTCAGCGCTTTCCAAAGTATTTCCTCTTCGTGGGATTTTTGCTTCGGGTCTTGGAAGAGTGCGTGAGTCCAAGGCTGGGCGTAGGCGTAGACTGATTGTCCCATTGGCCCCGTCGTGACTTTGAGGCCAATTTCTACAAAACACCGCGGTACTGGTACAGGTGGTTTTCTCCGAAATGATCATCAGATCTAATGTTGACCTTAATCTATGTCCTTTATGGAATGACATTGAATTATAGACATTTTATTTGGTCTGCCGATATAAGTCCTGCCTGACTTGCTGAGTTCTGAGAGGTTTCTTCTCCGCACGATCTACCTGATCTACCTGAAACAGGTGGGTTAGCAAGTTTGGACAAGAAATGTTGCATATACTCATGTTTGATGATGTTCTGTTCAATCACTGCCCTGGTGTAGAAAGTGCAAAGTTTACTTTTTCCATGCTGCAACTTTGGGAGGCTTACGTGCGTGTGCTTGTGTTCAGCACCTCAATTTATGCCCTACAGTGGATCGCAGACTGCTTTTGGAAGGCGGAGGGAGTGAAGTCTGGACGTGTCAATCACATTGGTCGATGAATAGTGGGGTTTTACTACCCAATATATCAACCATGATGGGAATCCCTATTAATGCCCCATAAACCAACCATGCCTAACATTCAAGGCCAGAGTCTGAAACTCACCGGCAGGTCTTGCAGTTCTTCTCACTCAGGGCCGGCACGGAGAGACCCATGGCCAAACAACAGGCATCGTGGTCATGGTCTATTCGAAATACTTGTGTCACCTTGTGCCATCTCGGAAATGTTTGGAAACGGTGGCGCGTGCTCTGCCACAGGCTTCACCTAGCAATCTGAAGGAGAAGATCCGAAATCTAGAAGCATCTCGGTTTTGAAAGTTGGAGTGACGACATGTTGTGGGTAGCGGCTAGCGGTTGGAGAATGCAAATAGAGACAGAAAGGGCAACCCGCCCAATATGCAAGTGAGAGGGCACATTGCCTAGCTGAACCACAGGTCTTGTCATTCATGCGGCAAGGATTCGTAGCATTCTGAGTTCCAGCACTTAATACTCGACCACATGTTTACTCTCATTTATTGTGCCTGGGGGTGGTACTGACCTCCATTGGGTTTTGGTGTTTTTTGGATCGTTTTTGTTCTCATCCGACTTGAAGCCTGCCTTTCTGCCACACATCGCTGCAGTTGTAGATCAAATGCGCCTTTGCTCCTCCTCCTCCTCCTCCTCTTACTCCATCATCGCAATGTTTGCTCATCATCCATCTGTGACAAGATCAGTCACAATCAGTGGTTCGCTACACATTGCCCATCACTGTCCCATTGGTGAACAGGGAAAATGGATGAAAATATAAGAAAATATATGAACATGTATATAAACGTCAAATAACATCAATGTGTGTGTTGATTAGCATGGGACAATTTACAATTTGGTGCCACCGCAATGAGGATCAAGTTGAGTGCTTGAAAGCTGCTGTGCAGCTGGCAGAGAAGGGATCGATCCTCGTCAGCGCCTGGCGGAGCCAAATCCAGTAATTTCAGCAGACTGATCCAGTTCAGCACCGTTCAGCACTGTTCAGTGTTCAGCCTGAGGAGCGTGTGCAAGATTTGTTATGAACGAGAGGCTGCTCGACTGCATTGGACCAATGACTGGACCTTTGGCCATTTCGTCACGCCAAAGATGATAAAGATGGAGTGCTGAAGCCAAGTTGTTCTTGGACGTGAACGTCAAATCTGGAATTTGCTCCGATATTGCTTTGTCGTGCATGTCGCATTCTGTTTGAGCTTTTCTCGGCATGCATGCAAGCAGCCAACAAAAAGGCTGATTGGTCATGACGATATGCTTCAGCAACCAGGACATTTTTGACTTGCAAAGTCCGTTTGCTGGCTTCTATCGTTCATGTCCCCAGTCAAAAGTGTTATTTTGTTATTTTGTAGTGCCCGACGAACAAAAGCATAGTGATATAAATGAAGTGGTGGTCAAAACATACCAGAGCAATTAGCAGAATAACAGCAATATATTTATTGCGCATAAGAAGTCGCAATGTTGTAGCCGCAGCTATCCAGGTTTTGGTCAGCCATGGAGGTTGTCGGATCTGTCGGCCCTTGGGATGATTTTCCCTCGGTTGTTTGGGCTGCTGCTGGCCGAAGCTGTGGAAGCGGTGCTGCTATCGCTGCTATCAGAATGCCTCTTCTTGAGGGGCCAGGGCAGCTGCGAGGAAGTGCTGGAAAAAGGCTATGCTTTGCCAGGCATGATGGATAGTGTTGGATGGGACTAAAAGCGCAAGTAGCTCATATAGCTCAATGCACCAACTACCAAACTTGTCAAAAATGAATGGAAACAATCATAAACAATCGGCAGGGTGAGCAAGGCAGCGGCTGTTTGCGTAGAATGAACAATAATGACTTGCCCTTTTTGTGGAAAATGGGCGGACAAAGCTGTTTTTTTCCCAGTTAAACCAATGGTGTCGTGATTGTTGAAAGATGTTGAAAGTCAGGTCAAGCGGATATCGTCTTCAAGCTTTGTCCTGGCTCTGAAGTTTTGGAGGCACGAAATAATTTTCCAGTTACCTTGAAGCTATCCTTGTCACAAGACGGGATGTATTTTGCAGCTTTGGGCCACTTGCCTCCTGGCCGGTCCTCCTGGAACTTTCGTGCAAACTATGTCCGCATCCAATGGACCAAAACCAAAGAGCTCCTGGCAGAAGCGCCAAAGGGCGTGCTGGGCCTCTTCGGGCAGCCATGCTTTGATACCAGCAACCTGACTTTTCCAAACACCGAATGGCAAGTGCCGCAGGTAGTGGTGCGACCCCAAAATTGCTTCTCTGCAATGCTCTCGAAGCATTGTTGTCACCCTTTGAGACCACAATGCTGGGGCTACAACACTTTGCTTGCAATGGCTTGCTGTGCTGTTTCTTTCGAACTATCCACATCGAAATCATCGACTTGTTTAGTGTCCAATCCAAAGTTTCCAAATTCCAACCAGGATTGTCGAGGACGTCCGGTCAATTTTTTCCGTACATTCGGGGATGGAAACGAGCTTAGGCTGGTCGTTGGAGGTCGGATTTGGCAAAGTCCCCCACATGAGATCAATGCCTCGTTGTCAGTTGGCTGTCTTTTCCAGAGTGTCGTTTACCTCTTTCACGAACTTCATCACCTGAGCCGTGACGCCAAATTCTTGCAAGCTATGTCAGCACACCAACTCCACCTATACGTTCGACTATTTCAGGCTAGAGGGTTGGGTTGGAGTCTTCTTTGGACGGGGCACTTGCCACTTGCAACCATAATGCCTATGACCTACGGTAGCGTTGCTGTTGCACAAGATCAAGCCGATGCTCAGAGAACCATTGCCAATGATTGCCAACTGATGGATCCTACCCAAAGACACTCTTGAAATGAATGTCGTGCAGAGCCACCATTGTAGTCACTATCATCTCACTATCATGTCTCTGTAGTCAAAGGCAAAAAAACGCCCAGCAGTGAGACTGGTGCTGGGCCAGGAACTGGTCCTGGCTTGCGACCTTGAGGATGAGGACTTTTTCCAGCTGAGCGGCTTGCTGCCCAACCAGATGCTGTACCTCGTGTGGCTGACGACGGGGAGGCTGGGGGCCTGCGCCTTGAGGTGTGGATACCCCGGTAGACGTGAATGAAGCTTTTCCATGCTCCCCTTTTCCAGCCTTGGCTTTTAGACACATGATGAACGTGGGGGATAGAGCTGGATGCTGAAAAAGAGATGAAACATGGATTCTTCATCACATACTGTATCACCACAATTCATCCACGCCTCAGGCGCTATGATTGGCTTTTGGATCGAGTACCACGTCCCTCGCGGCCATTAATCATTGACATTGGCACAGCTGGAGGTCTAGAGACTTGGCTCAGGCACTATAGCACCATAGTGTCAGGGAGCTTGCTGTCCTATGGTTTTGTTTGAAGTTGTGGCCCCCCCCATCTTGAGGACACTGCACTGTACTTGGCTTTGGGTGCCCATGTGGTGTCTGTGGAGGCAGGCCCCCTGGACGATGACGAGAAAGATGGCATTTGCCAAAATGAAAGATGCGTTGATTCCCTTTGATGCGAATCTGTAGGAGGGCTAGAGGCTAGAGCATTGTGGGATGTTTCGCAAGGAAAGGGCATGTGCAACATGCTGGTTTATTTGTTCTGGATTATTGTGGAAGATGTATCAGGCCAATCCATTGGCAGCCAACTGCAGCAAGAGCCGTTTGACGAGACAGATGCGAACTGGAAAGCTGAGACTGCTGAATGCCAAGATCAGCACAGGTACCCTCCGTGGGGGGCATCAAACTGCATAGAAATTGGTTCGCCACAGCTGTTAGACATGATGCATGAGACGCGCAATCATTCTGCGGTTCCAGAAGTCTTGTATAATCCCTTCCTCCTAATACTAAACGTCCCCCTAATACTAAAAACAGGCATCCATCTCCAATTTCCGAAAATTTCAGTTTGGCCAATTTGACTTTTAATTGATCCCCTTTAAAAAACAATTCAAAAATCAACCTACCATGTGTGGGTTCTCCCCCCTAATACTAAAAACTAATTCATCCCGGGGTGTTTAGTATTAGGGGGGCTAGTCCTACTCCCCAAATCCAAGCTGCCTGGCTGGTCTAGCTGCCTGCATGTTTTGCTGACACCACGCTGTCTGGCTGCCTGAAAGCCACCCCTCATGCCTTGCTGCCTGCAAGGTCTTTCTGAGCTGGCTGGAGTCCTGAATTTTGAAGATCCCATAAACACCTATGTTAAGGGTTTCCCTTAATTTTAGGGGGTTAAAAAAAAAATCAAGACTCCAGCCACTGTACTTCCTGGCTGTACTTCCTGGCTGTACTTCCTGGCTGTACTTCCTGGCTGTACTTCTTGGCTGTCTAGCTGCCTACGCATCCTTAGCTGGCTGCCTTTCTGTCTGAGCTGGCTAGAATCTTTAATTTATAATTGAATCCCAGAAATTTAATTGATTATGGTTATGTTGTAAAGGTTTTAGGAGTAATTAATGAATAACAATCCCCATTAAAGATTCTAGCCAGCTTTCCATGCCGCTTGCCTGGAGCTCACTGTCTGGCTGAGCTCCATGCTTTGCCAGGTTCTGTCTGAGGGCTGGCTGGAATCTTGAATTTATATTTCCCATTGAAACAACAGCAACTATTGGTAATTATTTAGAAGGTGACCCATGTAATTAAGAAATTACTTTACTAATTATTCAAGATTCCAGCCTGCCCCTCTGTCTCCTTGCTCCTCTGGCTGTCTAGCTGTCTCGGCAGCAAAGCATCAACCAGCTGAAAGGAGGACCTGCCTGTCTGGCTTTACTGATCCAGCTGCCTTTCACGACTGCCATCCAGTCCTGCCAACTCTCTGTCTGCTCTTTGTGCCTGTCTACGTCTGCCTGCATAGACAGCCAGCTGTCCTGGGAGAGTGCTGTCGAGATAAAGATGGAGGGGTTTGTGTTGGTGTATATATATATATTTGTTTTTTTTATTTATTTATTTGTCAATGTCAAGTAATTAATTAAAATAGGAGGTGGATGTAGGAGGAGATATGTGTATAACTAATGGGATGAAAGTAAAAATTGATTTACTGGGGGTTCTAAATTCTTTGCTGTCTGTAGGAGTGAGAATATTGCTGCCTAGCTGCTTGTCGCAGCTCCATACAACACACCTTCTTCCCCAGCAGGTGCATTTCTGTCTGTATGTCTTGCAAGGCTGCCAAAGCTGCCTGCAAGAGCTGCGTCTGCTGTGCCTTGGCTGCACAACTGGTTCCACCAAAAAAAATGCTAAAACAGCTACCTGTTGTGCTAATCGCTGCCTGATGATTGGAGATCTGACTTGCCTGGCTGTAAATCACTGGCTACCTAGTGAAAGATGGATGGCTTTTTCAATCTGGCACGCTGGCTCGCGGAAACTCACCCCTCAAGCTGTGTGCCAAAAGCTCACAGCACTTGCTGCTATAGTAGAATATCCAATATCTCAATGTCTATATCTTTCTAATTATCTATCTATCCATAGACCTATCTCTCTAATTTGCTATCTAATTCATGTATCTATCTATCAATGGCAAATGAAGGTTGGATGCTCCACTTTGCTGGCTGCTGGACAGCTCCTGCAAAAGGCTATGCTGAGTGCCTGCACTGTTTGAGCTGGGTTTGGACCATGCCTATGACAATGGCTGACTGTGCTGTGGCACAGAGCCTTCCAATTAGGGAGATCACATGAATAGACTGTCTGGCCTTTCTGAGATAGCAAAAAAAATTGGAAGGCTCTGTCTCGCTTGAGGTGCACTCTTGGCTCCTCTTTCTGGCCGTGTTCTGACTTTCTTTTCTGCCACTGTGACTGCCTCACTTACTTTTCTTCTCTGCCTCTTTTGTTCCTTTGCCTGCCTGCTTCTCTGCCCAGCGCAGCATCTTGGCTGGGTTGCAAGCCAAACAGCCTGTCTTGCTATACTTGCACTTGCTGCAACCAAACTGCTCGTCCCAGCCTAGCTGCAGCTTGGTCTGTGCCACCTTGCCCTTTTTTTTCGTCTTCCCTGCTTCTTCTGCCTTGCTGCTGTCTGGAGGAGGCTGCTCTGGAGGAGGCAAAGGAGGCAGCTCAGCTTCTGGCTGCTTCTCTGCTGCTTTCTTGGCCTCTAAAGCCTTTGCTGCCTTGTCTAAAGACTTCTGCTTCAGCACTGCTTCTTGCCAGGACTGAAGCTTCTGGCTCAGCTCCCCAACTGTCTGCCATGTGGACTGACTACATCCTAGGAACTCTCTGGCTTGTCTTTCCATGTACTGAAGGCACCAGAGGCCACAACTGAAACCGTCTGACTGGTGGAAACGGTTGCATGGCACTGGCAGCTCTGTCTCTGTCTGAAAACAGACTTGCAGCACTGTGCTAGCTGCTGCTTTGGCTGTTTCTGGCTGCATCTTGAGTGTGTCGAAGTACTGGACCTCTGGCTGTTCTTCTTTGCTGCTGCCTGCCTTGCTCAAAGAAAGCAGTGTCCAGTGCTGTGGAGCTGAGCTGTGGATTGGTACCAGCAGCAAAGTCTTGCTGTCTGCCAGGAAGTCTTCCATGGCTTTGCAAACTGCACCTGTCTCTGCTGCTAGCTTGCTTTGAGCTGGGGTTACCCATCGCACTGCACTGCCTGGCTTCAGTCTGCTGCTAATCTCTCTCCAGCCTGCCAAGAGCTGATCATCTGTCACCAGCTGGCCGAACTGGTAGAGATCCACTTGCTGCATCCAATCTGCCTGCAAAGACTGCCTGGCTGCATCCTTGAGCTGCTGTGGAGCCATTGTCTGCCTGGCTGTCTTTGGCAGCAAAGGGCATTCTAGATCTGCCTTGCAAATCCACTGGCTGCCCTTGCTCGGTATCTGGCAGAGGAGCTGGCTGCCCTTTGCTTTCTCCACTGTCACGACCAAGCCTTGCCAGGCTGCCTTTGCTGTCTCTCCAACAACTCTGCCTATGGCACCATTCCACTCTGACTCCTCTTCCTCTGCTTTCTCTGCTGCCTCTGCTGTCTTGATTGCTGCTGTCTTCTTGCTCTGCTTTTTCTTCCTTTTCTGCAAGTGACTGTACTTGAGCTTGGCACTGGGCTTCAACTTTTTGCCTGCTGTCTTGCTGCTGACTGGTCTGACTTGCTCCAATGCCTGCCTCTGTGCTTTGGAGCCCGCTTTCTGCCTCCACTTCTCAACAAGCTCTTTCTTGGCCTTCTTTCCTTTCTTCCTTCCTCTGGCTTTATCCTTTCTCTTCTGCGAGGCTACTTGGCTGACTGCATGCATCCATGGAGTGCTTGGCCTGGCAGAAGGTGTAACTAATTAGCCATGGAGTGGTTTCTTCAAAGATTGGAACCTAGAAGATAAGGACTTTAGAAAGGGAAATGGAAGGAGGTGAAGTAGTTTTTAGTATTAAGGTCTGGTGCTTAGTATTAGGGAGAACCTGCCTGGAGCTAGCCTGGCAGCACAGAAGCAGAAGTTTTAGTAAAGACTTTAGAAAGGGAAATGCAAGGAGGTGAAGTAGTTTTTAGTATTAAGGTCTGGTGATTAGTATTAGGGAGAACCTGCCTGGAGCTAGGCTGGCAGCACAGAAGCAGAAGTTTTAGTAAAGACTTTAGAAAGGGAAATGGAAGGAGGTGAAGTAGTTTTTAGTATTAAGGTCTGGTGCTTAGTATTAGGGAGAACCTGCCTGGAGCTAGCGTGGCAGCACAGAAGCAGCAGTTTTAGTAAGGACTTTAGAAAGGGAAATGGAAGGAGGTGAAGTAGTTTTTAGTATTAAGGTCTGGTGCTTAGTATTAGGGAGAACCTGCCTGGAGCTAGCCTGGCAGCACAGAAGCAGAAGTTTTAGTAAAGTCTTTAGAAAGGGAAATGTAAGGAGGTGAAGTAATTAGTTTTTAGTATTAAGGTCTGGTGCTTAGTATTAGGGAGAACCTGCCTGGAGCTAGCCTGGCAGCACAGAAGCAGCAGTTTTAGTAAAGCCTTTAGAAAGGGAAATGGAAGGAGGTGAAGTAGTTTTTAGTATTAAGGTCTGGTGCTTAGTATTAGGGAGAACCTGCCTGGAGCTAGCCTGGCAGCACAGAAGCAGCAGTTTTAGTAAGGACTTTAGCTTGGGAAATGGAAGGAGGTGAAGTAGTTTTTAGTATTAAGGTCTGGTGCTTAGTATTAGGGAGAACCTGCCTGGAGCTAGCCTGGCAGCACAGAAGCAGAAGTTTTAGTAAAGACTTTAGAAAGGGAAATGGAAGGAGGTGAAGTAGTTTTTAGTATTAAGGTCGGTCTGGTGCTTAGTATTAGGGAGAACCTGCCTGGAGCTAAGATGAAATAGGTGAAGTCAGTAATTAATCAGCTGTCTCCCTGCCTCACTGTTGGATGCTGCAGCAACTCTTCCACTGCCAGCTGTTCTGCCTGGCTCATCGCAAAATCCGCTGGCATGTCAACGAAAAAGCCTGTCTGCACTCCATGCTGGCTGGAGAACAGGTAAGAGCCTTCATACTCTGGCTGTGGCTGCTGGCCCTTCTCTTCCTCTGTGAAAGGCACTGGCTTGCCTGACTTCACATACTTTGCTCTGTCTGAGAGCATGTGTGGAGCCATCTTGCTGTTGCCTTCTGGAAAGTCCTTTGCCCATGGCTGTGCACTGACTGGCTGCAGGTCGCCTGCCTCGTCTGGCCTGTAGTGGAGCCAGCCTCCACTTCTCGCTCCCCTTAAGACTGTCTCGCTGGTTTCATTGAGCTGCTGCATCCTCTGGTGCATCACTCTGGCTGCCTCGAGGATCTCTGCAAGACCTGTCTTGTAGGTTGGTGTAACACCTTCCTGTCTGGCTTTCTCTCTGAGCATGTCCCTCAGGTCATTGTGGTATCTGCTAAGGGCTGCTTTGGCTGGCTGAGCAAGCGCTATGTCTGTGAGCTGTGTGAGGCCTGTTGTGCCTGCCCCCACACAGCATCTGAGTCTCTGTGTTATGAAGGCTGCCTCGCTGCCTGCCTCAGTCCATCCTCCTACAAAGGCATCTATGAGGTCTACAGCCTGTCTGTGCTCCTTGGCTTCCAGTGCCTGCTGGAAAGCGTATATGACTGAGTCAACAACTGCACTGGGCTGACTCCAGACCAACACTTCGTCTCCTTGGAAAAGCTCTGGCCTTTCCTGTCTCAGCTGTCTCCACTGACGCATGAGCACACCTGAAACCTTCTGTCCTGCCTCTCTGCGCGCTGTTTGACCCTGGTATTCATATTGCTCTGTCTCCAGCCAGTGCCCTGACTCGCTGATGTTTTCCAATCTGCAGTGGCTGCCATAGACCAGCAAAATCGAAGGCATCACTCGACCCACTGGCTTCTTGTCTGGCTGAAAGTATTCTTCTACCGCCTGCCTGGCGACAAAAGAAACTCGCCATCTAGGCGCCTGCCCTGGACTTCTGGCTGCTGTCTCAACAGGCTGCTCTGGCTCTCCAAGCTCCTCTTCTGCTGCAACCATCTGTTGCTCTGCTGCTTCTCCAGCTGCTTCCTCCTTCAACTGCTCTGCCTGCTTCTTCCTGGCTCGCTTTCTGACCCTCTGCTGCAGGGCCCGCTCCTGTCTCACTGTGCTGACCAGCATCTTGCCTGGAGGAGGCTTCAGCCAGACAGGAATCTGGTCACTGAAAGTCAGCACTGTTTGCTTCCTGTTGACAAACCAAGCCTCTCTGTCTCTCACTGGAAGGTCTTCCTGCACAACTGGCTGAGCTGCCTTGTAAAGCTGACTGTCGTAGTGCCTCCAAGCTGCCTCCATTCTCTTTCTCAACTCCTCCTTGCTGATGTTTTGAGTCTGCTGGCAGCTTCTCTCTCGCAGGCCTGCTCTGGCTGCTAGCTTCGTGGCCTCTTTATCCCGCTGCTTCTTCTTGGTCTGCAGTGTCTTCAGCTTCTGTCTCCATGCCTGGAGCTCCTGGAGCTTCTCTGCTGACAACTGCTCCTCTCCCTCTCTGTGCTGTATGGACTGCTGCAGCCTGTACTCATAGTCCCTGACTAGGTCTGTGAGACTCAGCAGATGTTGCTGGCTCTCTTCATACTGAGCCCACAAGGCTGTGGCCATCCAAATCACTCTGCATCTGTCTGGGCGACCTAGCTGCTTGCCTGCTCCAGCCACTCGACTGCCTTGGGCCTTGCTGGTCCGCTTTTCCATGCTTAAGTGGCTGCCTCTTCTTCTCAAACCTTGCTTGCCTAGCTGTCTCTGGCTGACAAACTCTGTCATCTGAGCCATTGTGTCTGTCTTCTCCAAGTTTCTGACTGCTGTCGTGCTCAAGCCGTATTTCGATCCTATGATCTGTCTGGCTTTGGTCTTGCTCAAGCCTGGCTGCTGGCAAAGCTCCACTAGTTCTGCGTGGAGCTGCAACTTGGTTTGTGCTGTTGGCTCAGCTCGATGCTTTCTGACTCCAACTGCTGGCTTTCCATGCTTCCTCCCTGAACCTTTGGGCCTGCCTCCCTTCCTCTTCGATGGTGGCAGAATTACTGCTGCACTGTCCTCAGCTGACTCTAAACTGACTAGAGCTTGCTGCTGTGCTGGACTGAGAGGCTGCACTTCTTGCCTGGCTATCTTCTCACTAGAAGAACCAAACATGTAATCCAAACGATAGAACTTGGTGACTGAGCTACCTGGACTTGAGGACTGTCTCTTCTGCCCTCTCTCTGGGGTAGCAGCTGCCTGCCTCAATTCGTTTGACAAGCTTCTCCTGACTGACACACTCTCTGCCTGTCCTTCCTCCTCCTGGCCATCCTGGCTCTGCACCTTCCCATCGCTCTTCATCACACTGGCTGCCAGTGCTCTACTTTCTGACTGACTCGAGCAGAAGGACTGGAAATGAAACAAATCTGGCAGAAAACAAACAAGCAAACACACACACACATAATTATATATATATGTAATAAAATATATAAGTATATATATATATACCCACATATTTACTATTCTATCTAACTCATTATCTGTCTAATTACCTATCTGTCTACCTTTCTATCCATCCAAGTTTCTGCACAACTGATTCCAATTCAACTGCCCTGTGGCTTGCCAGCTGGTGAAGTAATTATATAATTAATTAGTTTTTAATATTAAGGTCTGGTGCTTAGTATTAGGGAGAACCTGCCTGGAGCTAGCTTGGCAGCAGAGAAGCAGCAGTTTTGGTAAGGACTTTAGAAAGGGAAATGGAAGGAGGTGAAGTAGTTTTTGGTATTAAGGTCTGGTGCTTAGTATTAGGGAAAACCTGCCTGGAGCTAGCCTGGCAGCACAGAAGCAGCAGTCTTAATTAGTAAGGACTTTAGAAAGGGAAATGCAAGGAGGTGAAGTAGTTTTTAGTATTAAGGTCTGGTGCTTAGTATTAGGGAGAACCTGCCTGGAGCTAGGCTGGCAGCACAGAAGCAGCAGTTTTAGTAAAGACTTTAGAAAGGGAAATGGAAGGAGGTGAAGTAGTTTTTAGTATTAAGGTCTGGTGCTTACTATTAGGGAGAACCTGCCTGGAGCTAGCCTGGCAGCACAGAAGCAGCAGTTTTAGTAAGGACTTTAGAAAGGGAAATGGAAGGAGGTGAAGTAGTTTTTAGTATTAAGGTCTGGTGCTTAGTATTAGGGAGAACCTGCCTGGAGCTAGCCTGGCAGCACAGAAGCAGAAGTTTTAGTAAAGTCTTTAGAAAGGGAAATGGAAGGAGGTGAAGTAATTAGTTTTTAGTATTAAGGTCTGGTGCTTAGTATTAGGGAGAACCTGCCTGGAGCTAGCCTGGCAGCACAGAAGCAGCAGTTTTAGTAAGGACTTTAGAAAGGGAAATGGAAGGAGGTGAAGTAGTTTTTAGTATTAAGGTCTGGTGCTTAGTATTAGGGAGAACCTGCCTGGAGCTAGCCTGGCAGCACAGAAGCAGCAGTTTTAGTAAGGACTTTAGAAAGGGAAATGGAAGGAGGTGAAGTAGTTTTTAGTATTAAGGTCTGGTGCTTAGTATTAGGGAGAACCTGCCTGGAGCTAGCCTGGCAGCACAGAAGCAGCAGTTTTAGTAAGGACTTTAGAAAGGGAAATGGAAGGAGGGGAAGTAGTTTTTAGTATTAAGGTCTGGTGCTTTGTATTAGGGAGAACCTGCCTGGAGCTAGCCTGGCAGCACAGAAGCAGCAGTTTTAGTAAGGACTTTAGAAAGGGAAATGGAAGGAGGTGAAGTAGTTTTTAGTATTAAGGTCTGGTGCTTAGTATTAGGGAGAACCTGCCTGGAGCTAGGCTGGCAGCACAGAAGCAGAAGTTTTAGTAAAGTCTTTAGAAAGGGAAATGGAAGGAGGTGAAGTAGTTTTTAGTATTAAGGTCTGGTGCTTAGTATTAGGGAGAGCCTGCCTGGAGCTAGCCTGGCAGCACAGAAGCAGAAGTTTTAGTAAAGACTTTAGAACGGGAAATGGAAGGGGGTGAAGTAGTTTTTAGTATTAAGGTCTGGTGCTTTGTATTAGGGAGAAAACCTGCCTGGAGCTAGGCTGGCAGCACAGAAGCAGCAGTTTTAGTAAAGACTTTAGAAAGGGAAATGGAAGGAGGTGAAGTAGTTTTTAGTATTAAGGTCTGGTGCTTAGTATTAGGGAGAACCTGCCTGGAGCTAGCCTGGCAGCACAGAAGCAGAAGTTTTAGTAAAGTCTTTAGAAAGGGAAATGGAAGGAGGTGAAGTAATTAGTTTTTAGTATTAAGGTCTGGTGCTTAGTATTAGGGAGAACCTGCCTGGAGCTAGGCTGGCAGCACAGAAGCAGCAGTTTTAGTAAGGACTTTAGAAAAGGAAATGGAAGGGGGTGAAGTAGTTTTTAGTATTAAGGTCTGGTGCTTAGTATTAGGGAGAACCTGCCTGGAGCTAGGCTGGCAGCACAGAAGCAGCAGTTTTAGTAAAGTCTTTAGAAAGGGAAATGGAAGGAGGTGAAGTAGTTTTTAGTATTAAGGTCTGGTGCTTAGTATTAGGAGAACCGCCTGGGAGCTAGCTGGCAAGCACAGGAACAGCAAGCAGTGTGTTTCAGTAAGGAGCTTTAGAAAGGGAAATGTGGAGGAGGTGAAGTAGTTTTTAGTATTAGAGTCTGGTTCTTAGTATTAGGGAGAACCGCCCTGGAGCAGCCTGGCCGCACAGAAGCAGCATTTTAGTAAGGACTTTAGAAGGGAAAGTAAGGCAGGGTGGAATTAGTTTTAGTATTAAGTGTCCTGTGCTTAGTATTAGGGAGGTCACTCCTTGAGCTAGCCTGGCAGCACAGAAGCAGCAGTTTTAGTAAGGATGGTTAGAAAGGAAATGGAAGGAGGTGAAGTAGTTTTTTAGTATTAAGTCTGGTGCTAGTATTAGGGAAGAACCTGCCTGGAGCTCGCCTGCATGCAAGAATGCGTGCCTCCAAGCCAGGCCCTGCGAGGAGCAGTTTTAGTAAGGACTTTAGAAAGGGAAATGGAAGGAGGTGAAGTAGTTTTTAGGATTAAGGTCTGGTGCTTAGTATTAGGGAGAACCTGCCTGGAGCTAGCCTGGCAGCACAGAAGCAGCAGTTTTAGTAAGGACTTTAGAAAGGGAAATGGAAGGGGGTGAAGTAGTTTTTAGTATTAAGGTCTGGTGCTTAGTATTAGGGAGAACCTGCCTGGAGCTAGGCTGGCAGCACAGAAGCAGAAGTTTTAGTAAAGACTTTAGAAAGGGAAATGCAAGGAGGTGAAGTAGTTTTTAGTATTAAGGTCTGGTGCTTAGTATTAGGGAGAACCTGCCTGGAGCTGGCCTGGCAGCACAGAAGCAGCAGTTTTAGTAATGAACTGTTAATTAGACGATGTAAATGCAAGGAGATGAAGTAGTTTTTAATTAGTACTAAGGTCTGGTGCTTAGTATTGGGGGGACCTGCCTGTATTCTATCTATCTGTCTATCTGATTGTCTATCTAATTATCTATCTAATTATCTATCTATCTATCCATCTAATTATCTAATTATCTATCTATCTATCTATCTATCTAACTAATTATCTATCCATCTATCTATCCATCCATGAAACTGGCTGCACAACTGATTCCAATGCAACTGCTCTAATTAATTCAACTGTCTGTCTGCTGCCAAGCTGCTGCCTCTGCTGCCAGGGCTGCCAAGGCTGCTTGCTGAGCTGCCTGCACTTGCTGGTCTGGCTGCGCTCCCTCAGGCTGAGTGACTGGCTTTTTCCCAGTGTCATGACCGCATCATAATTTCATGTTGCTCAAACACGGCCCGGGCACCAAATGTTTCCAGTGGTTTCCCCAGTGATGGATTAATCAAGGTGAAAATTCACCCAAAATCAGGCTGCCACTTCTGCTCAAGAGCTTGGAGCAGTGGAGTTAAACACCTGGCAGATGTTTGACTAGCTTGCAGCACTTCGCCGGCAATCCAATCGGGCAGTGGACAATTGCCACCTTGGAATATGTAATCACTATATATTATTTATATATTCATGGATATTCATGGCCATGTTTGGTACCATACGGTACCATATATGATTCAGCTCTGATGGGTGAGCCACCCGAGAACCCTGGAGGATGGTTGGTTGCATCATCTGTGCTGGAAGATCATCGAACTTCAAAGGTCACCTTCACCCATCTATTAGTGCGGACACCCATGATAACCATGCAGTATATAATCCCAGAAAACATTAAATGCATCGTCATTCATCGTTGAATCCAACATATTCCAACATTCCAACGTATTCCAAACAAGGCCTTCACATCGTGTCTCCCATGTTTTTTTTGATTTGGGCACTTTTCCCGTGAAGAAACATCCCTGCTATGTGCATCTCAGTTCTTGAGGAAACACCTAAGTTAGCAAACATTGGCAAACACCCAAATGTGATCATTTCATCATTGTCCATCTATGCCGTTGGGTCGCAAGGTCATCAGCATGGCAGCATGACTGTTTCTCTAAACGATAAACTCAAACGCAACCATCTCCAAACACCTCCAAATCAATTAACATAAAATATGTAGCACTTAGAGGTTTTGAATCTACCAGTACCACCCCCATCCACCCCCCACTGCTGCCACATCCGACCCAGTGCAGCTGACCTGTCGATCAAGGAGCGGCTGCTGGGCCGAAGTGTCACACCCAAAGTGCCCAAGAAGTCACACCTGCAGTCTTCACGCGACCGGAGAGGGACCCCCTGTTGCACTGTTGCAAATAGCTTCAGAAACCGTAGAAAATGATTTCAAAAGACTTACATGTATCAGATTCTTGTTGATGTTCTTTGGATGTTTCTCTATTCTACAGCCGAGGCAGATTCGTTGTGGCGCTGGATTTTTGTCGACCCTGAGCCCCCAAACGCCACAGCGGTGAATTGCGATGAACGCGCAGCAAAGAGTGGCGCTTCTGCAGATCTGGCGATTCCGCTGGCAGCTGAATCGCGAGTCAAAAGGCTTGTGCCAGCTTTGATGCATCAAAATGACGGAGCAAAAAACATTGCCATTGCCAATCTTAGATAACCGTGCAAAAATATATATATATATAGCTGGTTAGTATAGATTCATATATCATATAGCCATGAAAGGATTCAACTCCCCATGCCCAGCACCAAGGCTCAGGCCCTGCGCCCTTGGGAAGCTGCACCTGGGGTCCACATGGTCCAAATAGCTGAATGGTTTATTTCATGGACAACTCCGAAAATAACATCGATAACTGGGGGGAGCACCATGACTTGGGAAATCTCCACGTTCTGAAAATTTGATGTTATCCACCCCGTGACGTCTCCTTTCCAACTTCAGGGTTCGTCTCGACACCGAATGTTAGAGCAAGGCTTATTTTCCTCTCGGAAATTGTTACAGGGATTACCGTGTCATAGTTCCCCTTACTTCGCTGATTTTGAACATATGGTTGCTGCAACATAAAAGTCAATGCAGCGCTCATTATTTTCAAAAAATGCGGAAAGGTATCTGAAGCCACCAAGCAGTTAAACAACTCCCATTAGAAACGTTGTTGACTGATATGGATTCCAACAATGAATGCATGGCATAAGCATCAGTCTGAGCTAAGATCAGAAATTCCATAGATATACAAACATGTACATATAATATAAACTGTACATATAATATATACTGTATACATTTATATGTCTATATATATATATGAGTATATATATATATGAGTATATATATCTATGAGTATATATGTGTATGTGTGCATACATTTATACATATACATATATATTAATATATAGTTATATAATTGGATCATATTAAATCACACGCCTTGCAATCAATTTGCACATCATTGCTGAAACAGAGATTTGCCATTGCCATGTAGCAGCCTGGGCCACCCTGCCCCCTGAAGGAAGGGTGCAAAATCCCCAGAGAGGCAGTCGCGCAGCTGCCAAGTTCCAGCCTCACCAGGGGCTAGGGGAAGCCATACATAGAACTTGGATTTCGCCCACCAAAAAATGGGATATGGCCGCAAACGTGCGGATTTACTGTGATCTATTTTTGGGATTTTCTTTGGGGTTCCGAAAACAAAGTTGTTTGGTTACCCTACTCTGATATGTATCAACAATGTCCAAAGACCACTTTTTGGGCGATCTTGGTGCATAGCCAAGTCAGACATATCGGTGTGACTACTGTACCTTGGAGAAACACGGTGTATCACGGTGTTGAATGTACCCTCTGAACGAACACGGCAATGGAAAATCATACTTATGGATGATTTTCCCATTAGACAAAACACATGTATAGAGGATTTCCCAGCCAGCCGTGTTTGATGACACTGGAAGGCACCCTTCCGTGCTCATGAATCAGTGAAGGTAGCGTTTCAAAATGGACCGGATTCTCCATCATAAACCACCATTCAACAGTCCCATGATGTTCATCGTTTTCATCGTCTCACACTGCTACATCACACCTAGCTGCCCAAGACCGCACCAGCCAGCGCCTCATCATATGGCAGGGCTGACAGTGATGGACCATGATGGTATAAGAGCTCCATCATGTGAGGTGCAGCGACCTGGCTGGCACCATTTTTACCACATATTTTTTTTAAAGAACCGAATGCTCCCTTCGTCCCTTCGCCCCAATTTTTAATATTTAAACATCCCCAAGGAATCACGTTTTTAGTAAGGAATTACACAGACTTGGGACCATTCATGGGGTGTTTGATGCTAGGTGGGATTGTTCCAAATTATTCCAGTCAAATGGCCACAACTTGGATTTCTACCAAGCATTTCTGGACAAAGCCACATTGGCAGGGGGCACAACTACCCTTTGCTCGGCCTGCAGCGATAGCCACCACTCCTGAGTTCAGCATCGGTGAAATCATATCACCCTAGACCCTCTAAGTACTTGGAAAAGTGTACTAATACAATCATGATTTTAAGCGACGTTTAGCCATTTTCATGCGCACTTAAGGAGGATCTATATGTAGGCACATTGCCCTACTTCAAAAAACCTTGGCGAAAGAAAAAAACATGTTTGGGATGATTTTCCAGTATCCCTATAACATTCTCGAGAATATCATAACGAACTCCGGCCGCGGCCTTTCAAATCCTCAGCTCTACACCGGGTCCAGCAATCTGGCTCCAATCTTTCTGGCCTCCAGAGTTCACCCACAGAGGTTTCAAGCTGGGAAAATCATCGAACTAGATGGAGGATTTTCCAGCCATGTTTTATTACCAAAGGCTATTCTCAAAAACCATAGGGATACATAATCTGCTTCGTGGTTGGGCCACCTGCCTGAATATATTTATGTATTTATTTATCTATCTATTTATTTATTCGGCCGTTGGGATTATCATCCCAAATAGGACGGAAAATGACATATTCTTCAAACCGGTAGCCTGTTCAGGCATCATGGAGCCGTCCATGATATCTCATGATATCTCCAACTATATAAGGAATTTTAGGGCTACCTACTTTCCTATGAGCAATCCTATCGATGGCGTTAGAACCTGAAACCCTGCTTGATCTGATGGTTCTATAAAGTTCTATATGAGTCTATATGTAATTGATGCAACTGTTGGCCTGATAAACTCCCACAAGTCTGGTGGTGTTTACTACAAACGTGTTTACTTGGATGTGCATCCCACTTAGCATGTGGTGTAATCCCTTCCTCCTAATACTAAACGTCCCCCTAATACTAAAGTGCAAACCTAAAAAAAGAAAAAAGAAAAGAAAAGAAAAAAAAAACTACTAATAGAAATACCTAACCTAAAAACTACAAATAACAAACTACTAAACGTCCCCCTAATACTAAAAACAGGCATCCATCTCCAATTTCCGAAAATTTCAGTTTGGCCAATTTGACTTTTAATTGATCCCCTTTAAAAAACAATTCAAAAATCAACCTACCATTTGTGGTTCTCCCCCCTAATACTAAAAACTAATTCATCCCGGGGTGTTTAGTATTAGGGGGGCTAGTCCTACTCCCCAAATCCAAGCTGCCTGGCTGGTCTAGCTGCCTGCATGTTTTGCTGACACCACGCTGTCTGGCTGCCTGAAAGCCACCCCTCATGCCTTGCTGCCTGCAAGGTCTTTCTGAGCTGGCTGGAGTCTTGAATTTTGAAGATCCCATAAACACCTATGTTAAGGGTTTCCCTTAATTTTAGGGGGTTAAAAAAAATTCAAGACTCCAGCCACTGTACTTCCTGGCTGTACTTCCTGGCTGTACTTCTTGGCTGTCTAGCTGCCTACGCATCCTTAGCTGGCTGCCTTTCTGTCTGAGCTGGCTAGAATCTTTAATTTATAATTGAATCCCAGAAATTTAATTGATTATGGTTATGTTGTAAAGGTTTTAGGAGTAATTAATGAATAACAATCCCCATTAAAGATTCTAGCCAGCTTTCCATGCCGCTTGCCTGGAGCTCACTGTCTGGCTGAGCTCCATGCTTTGCCAGGTTCTGTCTGAGGGCTGGCTGGAATCTTGAATTTATATTTCCCATTAAAACAACAGCAACTATTGGTAATTATTTAGAAGGTGACCCATGTAATTAAGAAATTACTTTGCTAATTATTCAAGATTCCAGCCTGCCCCTCTGTCTCCTTGCTCCTCTGGCTGTCTAGCTGTCTCGGCAGCAAAGCATCAACCAGCTGAAAGGAGGACCTGCCTGTCTGGCTTTACTGATCCAGCTGCCTTTCACGACTGCCATCCAGTCCTGCCAACTCTCTGTCTGCTCTTTGTGCCTGTCTACGTC